GGGTGGTGGTGTGTGTGTGTGTGTGGGGGGGGGGGGGAGGAACTAACGCAGCTTTCAGAAGATTAAGGTCATGATTGTTTTTTGCATCTCATTGCCGGTGATGCGGAACAAAAACACCGACTGAAAACGCCAATCATTTGAAGGCTCGTGTTTCAACGAACACACACACGTGCAGCGTCGAAGGAAAACAAAAATCATAATGAAGGATCTCTTCCCGCAAAAACACAAGGAGCAACAAAAGCAGAGCAGCAGCAACGACAGCGACAAAGCCAACCCCCCCCCCAAAAAAAAAAAGGCGCGCTGACGGCGCAAAAAGCGGGAGAAAAGAGAACTGGAAGAGAACTGGAAGAAGATGAGCCCTAACGGAGCCCCCACAGCAAAAAAAAACCCACAGTGGCTGACATCGCTTTGTATTAAATTCTTCTTCAATTTATCATGGAAGATTGTTTTCGAAAACATTCAAAAAAAAAAGAGAAAATAAATGATCAACGCAGAAAGTCGTTTGCAGAAGCAACAACAAAAACCCGAAAACGCGTAGGGCAACGGAGAAGAATAAAGCGACACGTACGCACGTTTTTTCCCACACTGCTCTCACCCCACTTACCATCCCCAGCGCTGCTTAAAAAAAAAAGGAAGGAGGATAAAAATCACAAGGAAACAGCAACGATTGCGGCTGTATTTGTGTTCTCCTTTGAAAAGCTGCAGGACTGTGATGAACCGTGAGCGCGTCTTCGTGCGCCATCGCCTCCTCTTCCTCCCTCTTCTTTCTTTCTTTCTCTCCCCCTCATCTCAAACAAGAAGAGAGCGGAGAGGCAATGCAATATATATACTGAAGAGAAAAAAAGAGCTGTTGCATTCGAAATCAGTAGAGAGCATCAGCACGCAAGGTGAGAGTGTATCACGCGGGGGGAGGAAGAACGTCGTTGAAGAACACGAATTGGAAGAGATGTATGCGGTGCATACGTATTATTCTTGTAACACGTACGATTGGGGGAAGCGAGAAGACGAACGCCTTGACGCACGACCACGAAACTATTGAACAGATCTATAAGAAAAATAACAAGCAAGAGATAACGGAAACGCAACTAACCACTGAGGGAAGGAAATGCACATCATGAAATAGAAAAGAAAAGGGAGAAGCACCAAAACGCGGCCTCGCAAACTTCGCCGTTTAGGATTCTCTTCTCCTCAGCTCAGTAATTTAAAAGAAAAAAGGAGCAGTAGAATAAACTCTCGCGTACGTGCTTTAGAAGAAAAAACCCGCCTTTTATGGAGTACAACCTTCACGCCGCCTCCCATCGTACTTGTTGCACGACACGTGTGTGGCCTCCGCAGTGCGTCGTTGGTTTTCTTTTTAATCCCTTTCTGCTCTGAAGACGGCACGCAGGCTCCGCGTTGTACGCCTGATGCGCGCGGAGGAGGCGGACGATGCACACCGTAGCACACACACACGCCAACACCGACAGAAGCGAAGACGAAGAGAAACCCTAGCAGCTGCAACACGTGCAATGGCGAGCGCTTCTACAATGCGCTCGCCATTGCTTTTTTAAAATTATTTTTGTAGTAGCCTCTTTTTTCTTTTTGACAAAGAATGCGTGCTAAACACACGTACGACACGGAGAGGCACGAAAGGAAAAGTGCGAGTGCCATCGTACAGGAGAACAACACTCACACAGATATGCGTATAAACATTAAATATACGAGGGCCCTTTGACACCAGCAACGACGTGAAACGAAAGCCACATCAAAGAAGACAACGAAGACAACAGCGCAATTCATAAAGGGAGATCCCATAAAAGACTTCGGCTGCGACAGGCGAGCGGAAATACGCTGATCGACGTACACTGACGTCGATGAAGAGTAAACTGAGGGAGGGGGAGCAGAGATAACAACGTCCGGAAGAGCGTAGGTAACTCGAGTAACATCGATCGTATGAGAGATTGCATGGTGCCACAGGACGTTCATTCGTTTCTAAAGCACGCGCTATTGGCTTATATACGAGAGTTACATCAACAACTCTGGGAAAACAATTATGATGATAATAACAAGAACCAACAACAGGCGGAGTTTCAAAAGGTGCACTTTCGTAGTTGATCACAAAGCCTCCACACCCAGCAAAAATATATATATATATATATATATATATATAT